GTGTGTGGAGATGGGGTTGGGGGAGGGGCTGTGCTCTAAATAATTGTAGACATTTTCCAAGTTGTCCTGCCAGGAGTGGGGGTTCAGTTACTTGCAGGGCTCTTGTTTTGCTGACGAGATGAAAGGTTTTGCAATCAGGGCTGGAGGCTGAACCTTGCTCCTCTCCCATGCTGTCCTTCCCCCACACCAGGCTCAGCCGCTCTTCAAACCAATGGCCAGAGGACGTCATTGGACAGTGTGAAGAGATCGTCAGTTACTAGATGGTCAAACTGTTCCGGGTCGGTTCAGCCCCAGACACACCAATTGATCTGCACTGATTTGGCGGCTCAGGCCTGAGCTCAGATCCAGCCTCTGCCTGACTCGGCCTAAACAAAGGGCCAGTGTGCAGCAAAAACACAGCGTCCGGACTAAAATCGCCACTCTGAACAGCTTGCTTGTTCGCACGGCTACAGCTTATCTCTTGGTGTCTAAGTTTCTGTTAAATTAAGCTCACTGACCTGGTACCTCTGGACTCCCTGGGGCACTGTGACCGAGAAATCTTCCAGCCCACTAAGGAACGGGTCTGAGACGTCAGGATATCGAAGGCCGTCCTGGGCGAAGATTCAGAACAAACTGATTAGTCCGTGTTTAAGCTGGGCTTTGATTTATGCAAACATGACTTGGCTATAGTACCCACAAAACTGCACGGTCAGTGTAGGGAGGTAACCCAAATCCCCATCGCTCGCCTCCAGGATTTTACTTTTGATGAAAGCTTCTTGCCCTCCCTCTCCTTCCCTGTAAGGAGGAACTGGACTGACTGGTTTGAAGCTGATCCTCAGGTCACCCTGAGAAGGAAGAGAGGGTGAGCTTGCCTGCAGGGAGAGAAGCGTGAAAACTGGGGCTACGTAAGCCATCCCGAAGGAGCTGGCGTTCACTGTACACACGAGAGCCCATAGCCTATTGCTTTTCTCAGCTACTCGGCTTTCTGGGAGAGAAGTAAAACGGGAGGCCGTCTGTGTGTCACTAAGCACATCAAGTGTCTTAATTCAGAAATTAAATTCCTGGGGAATGTGGCTGGTGAGGGTCTGAGTAAATGAGAATCAGACACTTTAGGAACGCTGAGCTGCTGGGGTGGAGTTGGGGGGAGGCGGTATTAGGTAGGGAGAGAGCTGTGATCATTGTCAGGAGAGGAGAGAGGGAGGCAGGGAGGGAGGGAGGGAGAGAATGTTTTGTTTTGCTTAATTATTCCAGAAATTTACAATCAGAAAATCTAGCAAGAAGCTACTTCAATATTAGCATGTAAATAAATTTTAGTATTTTAGAAAAATAAAATTTTATTTTACGCTCCATATTGAAGTTGGAATATGGGCAGGATGGAAGGGTTGACAGTAAAGGGACAAAAGTGTACATTTTGGGGAAATGGAAATGCCCTATATCTTGTTTGAGGTGGTGGCTCCGTGGGTTGACACATTGGTCAAAACTCGCTCTATTTAAACAGGTGCATTTCATTACGTGAGATTATACTTTCCAAAGTGATATTGGAAGAAAAATAATCGCACACTGAGGCAGGGGCGCCGTAACCTTTCACTGCGCAGGGCACGCGGTCGGCCTCTGTGGCTTGAAGGCAGCCTGGCCCGGAGCCCCAGGAATCTGGGAGGCGGGATGGCTGGGGGCGGACTGGCTGGGACCCAGAACAGGCGGCAGGCCATGGCCCAGCCCCACGGGACAGCTGGCAGAAGTAGTGGGCCCGCTGGGAGCTAAAGGCTGCGAGGAGCCGGGCAAGAGCGAGCACTTACAGGTGCAGAGGGCCGCTCTGCCAGCGGCTTCAGTGTCTGCAGCACTTGCAGGTAGAACTTGAAGAGGAAGCTGACCATCAGAGTCCTCTTGAATTCCACCCTGCCCCCCGGAGCCGAGCCTGGGAGGGAGACTTCGTCCAGGAGCAGCCGGCAGGCCTCGTCCAGCATCAGCTCGTTCCAGCGCCTGGTGGGAGGGAGGCAGCAGGGGATCAGTCAGAGCGTGTGACAGGTGCTCGATGTTGCTTGGTGATCACTTAGAGACTCCGAAGTCCTATTTATTTATTTATTTATTTATTTATTATTTTTTTGTTAATCCTCACCTGGGGATGGATGGAGATATACATATATATTTCAGAGAGGAAAGGAGAGGGAGAGAGAAATTGAAATATCAATGATGAGAGAGGACCATCAATCAGCTGCCTCCGGCAGGCCCCTCACTGGGGTTGGGGGGGATTGAGTCTGTAACCCTGGCATGTGCCCTGACTGGGAATCGAACCATGACCACCTAGTTCTGGTCCATAGGTCGATGGTCAACCACTGAGCCACACTGGCTAGGCTGGGGATAGTTTTTCCATTGATTTTTTTAGAGACAGTAGAAGGGAGGGAGACAGAAAGAAAGAAAAAAGAAGCAGCAGGAGAGGGAGAGAGAGAGAGAGAGAGAGAAAGAGAGAGAGAGAGAGAGAAAGAGAAAGAGAAACATTGAAGTGAGAGAGACACATCAATTGGTTGCCTCCTGCAGGCACTCCAATCTGGCCAGGGATCCAACCTGCAACCCAGGTACATGCCCTTGACCTGCAATGGAACCGGCAACCCTTCAGTGTGTGGGCCCATGCTCTAGCCACTGAGAAAACGGGCCAGGGCTTTATCGAGCTGGAAGGGAGTGTAGAAATCACCTAACAAGCCCTTCAGGAGAACTGAGGCAAGGAGTGGGCTGAGGGCACAGCAGGCTGGAACCTGGCATTCAATAAACAGACCCCGAGGGCCAGTTCCACGGTGAACTGGACGAGACTCAGACTCGGACGTGGCTTTCACCGAGGAAAAGGCAGGTGGCACCCGAGCAGAGGGTGCAGGTGCCACGCGGACGCTGCCGGTGTGCGTTTGCTGGAGTATTGGTGCCACAAGAGACTGGGCTGGAGGAGTCCTCGCCATTTCAGTTGTATTCCTCGCCCCAAAAGTGCCACCTACTTAATCATCGTCAAGAAAGGTCTGATTCATTTAGCAAAACCATGGAAAGAACAAGAAGTGCTTCCACACAGAGGACTTTCCATTTTCTCAGGCTTTGCCAACACACGCCTGAGCCAAATTTCCACCTTTTTTTTTTTTTTGACGTCGATCCACCCTCGGGCACAGGGGCACAGGGCTCACTGCTTACCTCCCTCGGAGCTGCTGGCAGGATTGGTGGGCGCTGACGGTGGCTGCCCCGAGTCCCCCGAAGGCGATGTTCAGGTCCTCGATGGTGTCGGTGCCCCCCTTGAGGAGGACCCGCATGCCCGCGTTCACGTGGGCCCAGGCGTTGTGCTGGCACTGCGCCTGTCGGAAGGCCGACACCAGCTCCCCCTGCGGAGGCAAATGCCGTCGGGAGCTGCTCCATGTGTCACCCTCAGAGCACGGTTTCTGCTTCTCGGCGCCACTGATTAATCACTTGGACCCAACGGAAAGGGACACCAAGGACACTGGGCACCATTTGAGGGCAACTCGGCTGCCTTCTCCTTCAAGTGAGGAGTGTTCTGCGCAAGGACCCCTCCCCCTGCCCCCCCTGCCCGGTCCCCTCCAGGAACGGGGTCACTGCACCCTTTTCCTCTGAAGCCAGGACAGAACGGCTGGCTCCTTTCCATGTGTCATCTTTCCAGGTGCCTGGCCCCGGAGTCTTCAGGCCCCGTGTCCCCTGCGAGGATGGAGGACCCTCCTAACACCAGTGCTTTTCTTTTCTTTTAATATATATGTATTTATTTTTTTACTTTTTATTGGTTTCAGAGAGGGAGGGAGGGAAAGGGAGAGAGAGACAGAAACACCAATGATGAGAGAGAATCATGGATCGGCTGCCTCCTGCATGCCCCCAACTGGGGACACAGCCCACAACCCAGACATGTGCCCTGACTGGGAATCGAATTGCGACCTCCTGGTTCATAGGTTGAAGTTCAACAACCACTGAGCCATGTGGGTCGGGCTCAACACCAGTGCTTTTCGATATGATCTGCCCAACATGCAAAAGAGCTCGACCGCATTTCTTGGTTTGCAGAAGCCATCACCTTCCATGTGCAGGGCTCATAGGAGAGTCGAAATGAACTTCCCACGGTGGCCAGGGAACCCTGTGTCAGGGCAAATCAGGAGGGCGATGCTGCCCCGCTGACCTCCTGGCACCGGGACCCCTGACATGGGGTCACTGGAGATGGCCCGAGTCCCCAGTGTGTTTCCAGCTGTGTGGCTCTGAGGGTGCGGTGTTTATCTGCGAGGTTTCCTGCCTGGGACCTTTACACAGAGGCACGTTTGACTGGGAACACATTTCAGAGTTCATTCCACAGGAAACATAAATGGAGGTCATGCATGGCTGACAGCATGCCTTACTCTAAGACTTCCTGCACAACCCAGCAGACACCTGGCTTCTGATCAGTGTGTGCGTGTGAGTGTGTGTGCGTGTGTATGTGTGAATGTGTGTGAATATGAGTGTGTGAGAGTGTGTGTGTGAGAGTGCGTGTGTGAGTGTGAGTGTGTGAGTGTGTGAGTATGTGAATGTGTGAGTGTGAGTGTGTGTGAGGGTGAGTGTGTGTGAGTGTGAGTGTATGAGAGTGTGTGTGTGAGTGTATGAGTGTGTGTCAGTGTGAGTGTGTGTGTGTGTGAGTGTGCGCGCGCGTCTGTGTGTGTGTGTGTGTGTGTGGGCGGGGTGGTTTTGCCTCTCTGGGAAGACTGTCCTCTGGGATTCAGACACAGTTTGGGGAGAGGCACAGGGGACAGAGAATGAGGACAGAGGCCCCGCCATAGCTGGGGGGTGGCCGCATCAACCTCAGGGTGCTGTGCTGGCAGGTGTCTGGAGGCCTCACCTTCTGTGAACTGTGGGGTTGGCTGGAGCGGGAGTTTGAGGCCCGCCCAGCCTCCATGTCCTGTGGGTCCGACAGAGAAGCTCATTCCCAGCCGGGGAGGTTCCCCTCCCGGAGTCGGTCAGAGAGCAGGAGGAAGCAGGACTGACTGACCGCAGGCCTCAGCAGCCGCACCCACAGCTGAAACAACACCCTACACCCACCCCGGGCTGCCTGCCAGGGGGCTGAGGCCTGGAGCTGCCGTCCAGGATAGGAAGTCATGACTCTGGCAGACATCCTCTCTCCTCTGCTTCAGTGTAAAGGCCCCGGATTTGGGGCCGAAGAGCGAGAAGCAGCTCCCAGGAGCGGCCTGCGCATCTTACCTTTTGAGAGTGAGGGATGTGCACAGATTCCAGAACCTCCTCCGGCCTGAGGTCTGCACTCGCCAACCCGGCAAGAAAGTGCTCGCTTAGCGGAACCTGCCGGGCGCCGCCTGCTGAAGAAGAGGACGTTTCTGCACAGGCAGCAGGGAGCGCGAGGCGGTCTGTGCGCTTCACCGTCAGCGCCAAAGAGGGGTCACCCCGCTCAGCACCAAGTGACGAGGGGCAGAGCGTGTGACAGTCAGGACTCGCCTGTGCCTCCAACGGGGAGCGAGGATGGGGTGGTGGCGGCAGCTTCAGGACATTTACCCCCTCGCAGCCAGTCTCCCCTGGCCGGGCCTGTGCGGGTTTTCACTGTCCAGCAGAGGCCCGTTAACTCTGTGATCAAGGGAAGGGCGCAGCCTATGCTGGGACGGGGTTTGTTCACATGGTGAACAGAGCTCAAACCCCTGGCTCTGCCTTTTGTTCTTGCTGCTGCTCTGGGCTCCTAACCAGACACCTATGCTTTCAATGCACACAACCTCCTTTCAGCCCCATTGCTATCACTGAAGGGTCCCGGTCCCCTCTGGCTTTAAAAGGGGGGTTTGTGGAGCCACAGGAGGTGCATGAGGAGCTCACCCTACAGCCTAGAGACCCTGACGGGTCGTGTTCCTGGCACAAGCAGCACCATGCCAGCTGGAACAGGTGTGGGAGGAGGCAGAGCACCCACAGATCCCCGCTGAGCTCTGGCCCTCCGGGGGCTGGTCAGCGAGCCCACGGCCTGGCTTCTGGAGCTGGGCAGTGCTCCGGGCCGGCTGCTTCGCAGAGCTGGGGGGACAGAGACCTGAAGCCGGGGTAACGACCAAGCAACAGCCCAGGAGAAGTTACCCTTCCACTCCTGCGGCTGGTGCAGGAGGCCGGCTGCTGCGGGCCCAGCTGTCCTTTCTATCCTGACGCCCCGGAGTCTTGTCTCTTCTCTCCTGGTCTTTGGGGGTCAACTGGGGTCGTCCTGGACCACAGGCCGGAGGACTCAGCCAAAGGGCTAAGGGCTGTCAGGGGTGAAACCCCTCCGCGGGCCCCATGCAAAGCTGTTGGGGACCAGAGAGCTGTTCCCCTGCCCCAAGGCTCTCCCTACACTCTGGGTTCCCACCGACCAGGGATGTGGCCTGGGATAGGTTTTCTGGTCGGACACACCCCTGAAGTTCACATGGGGCAGCTGGATTGCTCCCCCTGACCCCCAGCGCCTGGGCCCGTGTCAGCGCACGGAGGGGTAAATAATGGATGGGCTGAGCGGGGTGGACAGGCGGAGTGGGGATGTGATGGGCTGTGTGTGAAAGAGGGGAGAAGGGTTGGGAGGGGGATGGAGAGGCCCTGGGGAGCGGCCTGAGGGAGAAGAGGCGAGTGCATCCGTTTGGCAATCAGACCGGCTGGGTTCCAGGGCGGGTGTCTGTGCATGTGGGGTAGGGCCTTCCTGCAGGAGCCTGCGCTTCCTGTGCTGCACTGAGAGCCAGGACACGGACTCCACCTTAAAGAGGAGCCTTTAAAAAAGGACAGAGAATCCTTAGGTGCTGTGGGGAGTGCTCTGGGGTAGCTCACCTGAGGATATCAGATTGAGGGTAGCGTTGCCCACAGCCAGGATTGGGTTCAGATCCGAGTAGCAGTGCCGACTGATGATATGTCCCCCTAAGGACTGAGGAGAGAGAGACTTACAACCTGGGCCAGTCCACCCTCACGCCCTCTGCCCGCAGGCACCTGCTTATGCGAAAGGGCCCAGGGGGGGCTCCGTTCACACTGCCTGGGAGTCCATGCCGCCTGGAGAGGAATGGACGGTAACCCACACTCCCGGAGCTTTTGGTGTGGCCACCTGCTGCTCCTTTCCACACACATCTACTCATCCTCACAACAGTCCAGTGAGATGGATGTTGTTCCTACAGATTCATTCTACAGATGAAGACACTGGGCACAGAGAATTTGTGACGCCTGACCGAGGTCTCCCAGCTCGAAGGGGGCCAGGGTGGGATTCAAACACCAGCAGCGAGGCTCAGTGGCCAGTTCTGAGCCCCCCCCCTGCCCCCGAACCCAGCCATGGCCACCTTGCAGAATTCACCCAAGCATGCCCGGGTGCGGGGCACCCATACCACTGAGAGTGGGTTCCTTTCCCCCCTTTTGGAAGACTCCACGCAGAGTGGGTTGAGCCTGTAGCGTCTCAGAACTTGGGAGGGCACTGACTGGCCATTCAACTCAGTACCCTCCGCCCCTTCTAGTGATGGAGTCCACAGTGACCACCGCGTTGCTGCGGTTTGGGTGGTAATGCTGGTGAGGGCAGGGAACCCCAGTTCCTCTGTGGACAGCTTGATTTTCAAGTTTCCGCTTCCACTGAGTTGAAATCGGTCTCCTGTGGGTCATACTTCTATCCTCTTGATCATAGGAAGTGAACCCATCGCCCTCTGGAGCCCATAAATATTTGAAAGCAGCTCTCATGGCCCCTCTGATGGTCCCTCATGCACCACCCTCTTCCTGATGCGATGGCCAGCCCCTCTCTCTCCTGCATCATCTCCTCGCCAGGCTCCAGAGCGTCAGGGCTCTTGACTGGGATTTCGAAATCACTTGAAGAGCTTTTTCAAAGGAAACAGGTGCTCCTTCCCCAATTCTCTATGCCCTGAGGGTTTCTGACACACCGTTTGGGGTATGTAGGGGAAGGAGCATGCAGTGCTCTCTCCTGAGGTTATAAAGAACCTGACCTTAAACTGTGTTGCCCAGGTCTGACCATTACACTCCAGCTGTGGTCTAACAGTCTGGAGCAGAGCAGGCCGCCCTCCTTATTTAGGCACCATCCTTCCGTTAATGCAGCCTGAGGCGGAATTGGGTTCTTTGACGGTTGTCTCATAAAATCAGCAAAACCACGAAGTCCTTTTCCTACCCACCGTGCAACTAGGCCATTTGACTCAAGCTGACTTAGAACCCTCCTTTACAAGTTATTAAGGAATGTTTGTTAACTATTACGTATCCGTTCATCGTGCCTGTCGTTTCACCTGCTGAGACCCTTCTGCATACAGGTCCTGCCAATGCCGATTTCAGCATTTCCGTGGGATTGGGCAGAGGTGCCGCGGGCCGATGGTGGGGCCGGAGGACTTACCGCCATGTTCCGGATCTGCTGGCCCGCCAGGCTCTTCAGGTGCTTCAGGAGGGCTCGGTAGGTCTGCGTTTTCTCCTCTGGGAGCTCGGACACCCTCTCAGCCAAGACGTCCTTCACCTGGGCCAGGCTGCAGCCGGCGCCTATGCTGAGTCCTGGAAAGCAAGTTGTTTTCACAGGGGACCTGGGAGGAGCCGCTGAATGGTCAGCATGACCCAGGGCCTGAGTGCTCGTCTAGCACACGGCGCTCCACGCTGGCTGCACAGAGAATCACCGGGAACTCGACAACAGCACAGAGGCCCCTTCTACAGCAACTTCATTAGAATCTCTGGGCCTGGGGCTTTTTCAAAGGCTCCGAGGTACTTCTGTGCACCAGGGTTAGGACATCTGAGCTGAGCTACATTCTTTTTTAAAAAAAATATATTTTTATTTATTTCAGAGAGGAAGGGACGGAGAAAGAAACATGAATGATGAGAGAGAATCATTGATTGGCTGCCTCCTGCATGCCCCCTACTGGGGATCGAGCCGGCAACCAGGGCCTGTGCCCTTGACTGGAATAGAGCCCAGGACCCTTCAGTCTGCAGGAGGACGCTCTAGCTCAGCCGTGGGCAAACTACAGCCCGCGGGCCAGATCCGGCCCATTTGAAATGAATAAAACTAAAAAAAAAAGACCGCACCCTTTTATGTAATGATGTTTACTTTGAATTTATATTAGTTCACACAAACACTCCATCCATGCTTTTGTTCCGGCCCTCCAGTCCAGTTTAAGAACCCATTGTGGCCCTCGAGTCAAAAAGTTTGCCCACCCCTGCGAGTCTAGCCACTGAGCCAAACCAGCGAGAGCTGGTCTACATTCTTGTTTGAACAAATGCAGGGGACTAGAAGCTAGAGAGAAGGAATGATGGGAATATCTAGCAGGTAGCAGACCCTACTAGAGCTTTCCATGACCTCCTCCTGAGTAACCGCAGTGAAGCTATAGAAAGATGTTTTGTAATTAAGGGGGATACATCTGATGGCATTGCAGGGCCAGACAATCCACAGGGACTTTTTGTTTGGCCATTTCCATTGCTCACATCACCCCCTACTTTGTGCTAAGCAAGACACCACTATACGGAGAGAATTCTCTTCACTGTACTTATATTCACGTTGCATTCCATCTTTGGTTACAAAACCTAGCTTGTATTTCAGTGGAGTTGAAGAGCTTTAACTTGGCTTGAGTCTTAGGGTGTGGATTTTGTTTTAACTCATGCTAATCGGAGTTCCTGCATCTATGGGATAAAGATGCGGTGACTTTCTGGAGTACTTACTGTGCTAAAGATTTTGAGGGGCAAAAGGTATAATGAGCAAAACAGGTACATGATCTAGGTTAGCATGCAACATTGGAGCAAACATATGCAGTCACAGGAATTTATTTTCTGGGGTGCTGGTGGGGTGGGGGGGGTGCATATGGCTACCCCTGTCCCACCAGTGTCCTTCACTCTTGGGCCTTAGGAAAAGGTTGAGAATCCTGGGAAACATCCCTGGAGGCCACTAGAGGGCACTCACACTTTAATTTTAAGAGGCCCTAGGAAGGTGTGGGTTTGTTTCTCAGATTGTAGAATCTGGCTCTAATTTATGGACAGGATCCAAACTGAGTGGTCTGGTCTGTTCCAATAGCCAACCGCACAGGCCATGGGGTGGGCCTTGGGGACGGAGAACGGCAGGAACAAAGGAGCTCTGATTTGGAAGCAGGAGACTGTGGCTTGGCCACCAGCCAGTTTAGAGACCTTGGTCAAGTGCACTTTCCCTTTGCTTCTCGGCTTCCTCATCTATCAAACGAGGGCCTGGAGTTACACTGAGGATTGTGAGTTGTGCCCTGAAGAGCCCCCTCAGGGGCAGGTATAAGGGGCTCGGTGATAGGAAGGATGCGGGAAAGCTTCCCCCTTTTTCAAACAGCAGCTTCTTTTCAGGTGCTTATTCTAAGACCTGTTTGGGGTCAGGGTTGTGGTGCTAAAGAGCAGTTGGGAAAATGTGGGTGCCTGGGGTGAAGACTAGGAAAGGGCTTTCCATCTGAACCTTGTGCTTAAATTAATTGTCAAACTCCCAACCCACCCATTTTATTTTACTATTTTCTCTCCTTCCACTCTCTGTTA